CCGATTCTCGGCCATATCTGGCCTTCGCATTAATTTTTTCCAAAACAATGGCATTGAACATTACTTTCCCTGCTGACGTAGTTGAACATTTGCAGCTACAGTTCCCATACTGTTGGGTGTCCCACTCCTTAGATTACATTGGAATTAAACTTACTACCTCTGATTCCACCTTGTTCTTAGCAAAATATTACTCTTTATTACGATCTTTGACTTCCCTCCTTACTTCATGGCAGTTTCCTTCTCTGTCATGGATACATGCTGTCAAAATTACAGTCTTGACTAAAGTCCTATACTATTTTGTTGGTTGTTTTTAATTTGCTTCATTTTTGTACATATATCAGCTGAAGTTGATGTATGTAGATTTTTACATCATACATTTTGTATTTTGCATTGCGTTAATTTGTGATGATGGATGCATGAGTAGAATCTGAAGGAAAAGCAAAACTTTAATCATCTGACTAGCTTCAGCACTTGATTTTACCCCCAGGACCACTCCTCTTATAACAGGGTTAAATCCCTGCTTTGGTCAGCAGCACAAAATTTGTCATCTGTTCAAGTCTTGGGTTAAATCAGGGGTGTCAAACTGGTGGCCCTCCATCTGTTGCGAAATTACAAGTCCAATCATGCCCCTACCTTTGGGAGTCATGCTTGTAACTGTCAATCTTGCAATGCCTCATGGGACTTGTAGTTTGGCAACAGCTAAAGGGCCGTTAGTTTGACACTATGGGGGTTAGAGGATTAACATGTAACACTTCCCTTATTCCTTGCTCCAATAGGCTTCCACTATGCTGTGTGACTGGTTGCCAAAAGCCGATTCATTTTACCAGTCACAGACTTTCTGATATATACAATGCAGGACCAGCAGTTTGAGAAAGCGATTAACAAGGTATTGGATCTTTTTCCTCTACCCCTATATTTAACAAGCTTTCAAAGGGAATCTATAGTCACTGTATACACTTTTTATATTACATTAGCATTGTAATAGTGTTCCAAACAATAGTTCTTTTTGAGACTCCCAATAAAAGCTTGCTTAGAAATCTCCTTTCATGTTGAGTGCTTTCTGTCCATTGGTCATCTTTCTACAACTTTCTGAATTTTGAGCTACAATGAATTAATATATGACTACATTTTGACTAGTGGTGCACCGAAATGAAAATTCTGGTGTCGAAACCGATACCAAAAATTCAGAATGCATGTGGACGAAAAAACGAAATGTCTGTGTATGTGGGGAGGCTCCAAATTTTTTTTTTCTACTTTCATGTATATTTTTTTTTTTTTCCTTTTTTTTTTTAACTTGTGATTTTATTGCTATCACATAGGGGATAAATAATCCCCTATGTGATAGCTTGTGAGTGACAGGTCCTCTTTGTGAGGGGGTGGGGGGCAGTGTGTGCAAGGAGGGGGCAGCAGAGGAGCAGTGTATACAGAGCGGCTCCCTCACTGGCTGTCGCTATCTGTTAGTGCCAGTTTTTAAATGCAATTTCCGGCTTTTTTTTTTCTTTGCTATGAGCTGTCACTTTCCCCAGAGCTATTGGAAACTTTGTTTCTTTTATCACTGGAAAGAAACTAAAAGGAAACTTTGTTTCTTTTAGCTGGGGGGAAAGTGACAGCGAATTCTGTGAGCTATAGTGAAGAAGAAAAAAGTCGGTGAAAACATTTAAAAACCAGCACTGACACATGGTGACAGCCAGTCACTGTACACACTGCTCCTCTCCTACCTTTCTCAGCCATTCCGTCAATCCCCCCCCCCCCGCACCACCGATAGGGCTATTTTTGGCTGATGTGTTTCCATACTGTTGAAAGGGTGTGTGTGTGTGTATATGCTGGGTCTTATTTACAAAGGTACTGAGGCCCATAGATTGTGAATGGGCTGTATGTTTTTGCTGTTTAAGTTACCAGGTACTGCATGTAGGAAGCCCATTTGGGTCCTTTCACATGGACGTTCCGTTTTGTTTTGTTTTTTTTTTTTTTTCATCAGTTCAGTCGCTTTTTTTTTTTTTTTTTTTTTTTCAAAATCGAAGTTAAACGGATCAAGACTTCACTTTTTACCTTGCTTTTGGTATCAGTTTACATCCATTTGTGATCCGTTTAAATCTGTTTTTGAGCCGATTGCAATCCGCTTACATCCGTTTTACATCTGGTTTTCATGAGTCATGGAAATTCCCCAAGGCACTTTGCTCTAACTCGGCATGCATTGTGCTTCCCATGCTGCTTTGTGGCCCCAGTGAATGACTCTATGTACATCACCGTGTTCTTCCTGTCTCTTTCCTGTTATTTTGTGTTTTTTATTTTCTTAATTTTTTTATTATTGTTTTATTGAAAATAAAGAAAAATATATATCCTAATTTGCAGAAAAACAGATGTTAGCGGATCGGATGTAAGCGGATGTCATCCGGTGACATCTGTTTTTCGTCCGTTCCAGGTTTTGTTTTTTTACAGAAGAAAAATAGGGATTTCTTTAAAAAAAAATAAAAACGATGTTCACAGATGCAGACATTAACCAGTTCCCCGCCATTTGGGTGCAGCGTTGCATGACTGCGGAGTTGTCAGTCAAAGTAACGCAGCGCCGTATCGCAAAAAATGGCCTGGTCAGGAAGGGGGGTCTGGAGGGCAAGTGCTTAACTGATGTAAACAGATGATTATCCATTTACATGAGCTAGTCTGTAGAAATACATGGGTGTCCGTTTTTCATCCGTAAAAGGACAGATGAAAACCAGACATATGGAGCGCCCCTGTGAAAGGACCCTTGGTGTATATGGACGCACTCACTGCACAGACATTGCTAATATGATGATCATTCAGATGAGCCCCTTAAGCACAGATGCATTGGGGTTGATTTACTATAACTGGAGAGTGCAAAATCTGGTGCAGCTCTGCAATCTGTGGCAGTAAAACCAATCCGCTTCCAGGTTTTACTGCCAAAGCCTAATTGAACAATCTGAAGCTGCACCAGAGTCTAAATGCTCCAGTCTTGGTAAATCTACCCATGTGGGGCTGCTCACCCACACACGTCAAATTAGAATGAGCAGCTGTGTCTGTGCCGCTACTGCATCCCCATACATTTTACATGGGGTGCCTGAACACAGCACCTGGCTGCTCATAAATGCGTATACCTACCTTTTTTTAAAAATTATTTTCATATTCGAATGTCAGCTTTAAAATTTTCTACAAATTCTTATCTGTCTATGGTAGCAGGAACAGGCATGGACAGTTGCTGCCAAGATTCAAACAACGCAGGAGCTTGTTGTTCCATTGCATGAGTCGCATAACCAAAACTTGCCTGTCATTGTTCAGTCACAACTGCACCCATCACTTCACTAATTCTAGCTATATGAGGAAATTGCATCATTACAAGGGTTGGTTGCAGTTAGCTATTGATCAATTATGTATAGACAGTCAGTCTATGCATGTGTTAGGTTAGTGCCTGGCACACAACTAAACCTTTGAGTGCTTTGGGACCTTATGGACTTTTTTGGGATGTTGGAGATTGACTTCATGGGGTTTATTGGATGGGACGAAGATGCTGAATTCCCATCAGAACTTTGTGTATGGACCTTGTATATATCTGAACCCATCATTTTTGGACATCAATGCATTTGCAGAGACCAGTTACTTTTTCACAATACAGAGCAGATGAAAAATAAATTTTCTGATGTATGCAAATACATTAATGCAGTGAGAATATCTGAATTTTAATGCGTTGGCAATGAATACCAATTTCAGTTTAGTGGTATGTGCAAAAGACATCTCCGCACAAGGCTAACCTACTTTTCTGTTCAATCCTGACTTTTCCTGCCCATGTCGGTGGATTTGATTTTTAAGCTCTTGTCTTGGTTAAAATCCCTAAGGGCAATTATTTTTTTTTTTTTATTTTCAGCAAAAAAAATAGTTCGGGGAAAACTGTACATTTAATTAAATGTCTTACTGCTCTGTCGAGTCTTATTTCTAACATAAGACCAAAAGCTAATGCACAATAGGATATTTATATTGTCAATGCTCGGGGTCTCGAGTACGATCGTTTTCTATAAGGAATGCAAAGATAAATGGCTGTCCATCGCTCTGCTATGTGCTAAGCTGTTTTTCATGTTTCTAGAAGCACTTTATGTTGTGTCCATTTTATTTCCTGAAAGATAGGTGTCAATAATTTCAGTAAGACCCGATTCACATATATGCAGTGCAAAAAACGCAGTGAAACCGGAGTGTTTTCTGCACTGCATTGAAATCGCACTCCATTTATGCAATCTGCCACTGGTGTCAATGATTCTAAAGGTTCGTTTTTGTGTTTTTGTTTTTTTTGGAAAATAACAAAACATGTCTATACTTACCTGCTGTGTGCTGTGGTTTTGCACAGAGCAGCCTGGATCCTCCTCTTCTAGGGTCCCCCGCAGGCTCCTCTGGTCCCTCCCTCGTGTCAGGTGCCCCCACAGCAAGCAGCTTGCTATGGGGGTACCTGCTCCTCTGTCCATTCACACACAAAGCAGCGGCTTGCCCCCAGCCCCCCCCCCCCAAAAAAAAAACAAGGGTGTACGGATGTTTAATAGGAAATTAAGGGGGTTAGGGGAAACTTAATTTTGGTACATAGAGCAACACATTGCAAAGAGTGTTAATTTTGTCTTTGGAAATGCCTTTATATTATCTAGGAATCATAACCACTACATGGCCATGCAAGTGCCAGTATATTTTGTTTTGTGACGACTTTGTGTACATGTTTTCTGTTCACCACTGTGCAGCTTAATAAAGTTTTAAGATCAGTAATATGTAGCATGAAAGGTGTTCATAGATTGTCGCTTGGCATGTGATTACCTGAGGGGACATGCTGTCTGGTTTGGTCATGAAACCGATTCTATCCTGGGATTACATACCTTTTACTGAAGTCCCTTATTCTAGTATACGAGTTGTTAATTTTTAGTTTCATCTCCTGTTTTCAGAAACTGCACTCTCAAACAGTGATTTTATTGATGACTTTTATTTACATTTCAGAAACGTGTGCAGCAGACAAGATGGACAGCAACAGTTTCATCCAGTTTGAAGTGCCGGAGTACAGCAGCACCGTCCTCAGCCAGCTAAATGAGTTGCGTATGCAAGGAAAGCTATGTGACATCATTGTTCACATCCAGGGCCAGCCGTTCCGCGCACATAAGGCAGTCCTCGCTGCCAGCTCCCCTTACTTTCGTGATCATTCAGCACTGAGCACCATGAGTGGCTTATCAATATCAGTTATCAAGAACCCTAATGTCTTTGAACAGTTACTGTCATTCTGCTACACTGGAAGAATGTCTGTACAGCTGAAGGATGTTGTGAGCTTCCTAACTGCAGCTAGCTTCCTTCAAATGCAGTGCGTCATCGACAAGTGCACTCAGATCCTGGAGAGCATCCACTCAAAGATTAGTGTAGTGGGTGTGGGTGGGGAAGACAGCCAGAGTAACCACAATGGAGTCAAAGATGATAGCTTCTTTGCTAATCCAGTGGAGATCTCTCCATCATACGGTGGGCAAGGGCGACCATCGATTGTAGGCAATGATTTAAAAATAGATGGGGTAGCCAGCAAAAGTTTAAGAAACCGTCCCCAAGAAGAGGGTCAGTCAGACAGAGGCAGCAGTGGTAGCATTTCAGAGCATGAAATTCAGATAGAAGGCGATCAGGATCATGCTGACACCGTGCGGGAGAACCAAGTCTCGGAAGTTAAAGTCAAAACTGAAAAGTCTGACCGGCCAAGCTGCTCAGATAGCTCTTCTTTGGGGGATGATGGCTACCATACAGAACTGGTTGATGGTGAGCAAGTGACTATGCTGAATGTAGGTTCCTACGGGTCTGTATTACAACACGCATACTCTTATTCTCAAGCTGCTTCCCACACAACCAATTTGTCTGAGCCCTATAAGAGCATCAGCAACTCAAGCCCTTCCAGGTCCATGCTAAGTTGTTATCGGGGTGGCCGGGCACGCCCAAAGCGGGCATCTAATATAACCAGTGAGGTTCATAATGTGATCCAAAGCCCTGAAAGTGAAACTGTCATAAGTGCACCAGCTTATGAGAGCAGTCCCCAGGAAAAGGCCTCCAGAGGCTATTGGCATCCCTACAGCGAAAGACTCATCTGTATATACTGTGGCAAGACATTCAACCAGAAAGGTAGTCTTGACCGACACATGCGGCTCCACATGGGAATCACGCCATTTGTGTGCAGATTTTGTGGGAAGAAATACACTCGCAAAGACCAGCTGGAATACCACATACGGGGGCACACTGACGACAAGCCTTTCCGGTGTGAGGTGTGTGGCAAGTGCTTCCCATTTCAGGGCACACTGAATCAACATTTACGGAAAAATCATCCCGGTGTTGCTGAGGTGAGGAGTCGGATTGAATCACCAGAAAGAACGGAGGGATTTGTAGACCAAAATGATACCAATGTTTCAGATGTGACCATGGACTCCAATATTGAAATTCACACAGTCACTACTACACCTGACTAACTAGACATGCCAGGGCACTGTAAAAAGCACACATTATGTTAATTAATGCCTATTTTTATTACTTATCGCTTATTTGGTAATCTCTTTACTATGGAGAAAGCTACTCTTAATCCTTTTGTTCTTTGAGAATGCTTCTTGATTATTCAGAGACATTTTAATATAACTGGGTGATACACTAAATGTACTTTGTTTTACTTTGGAAATTTCTTTTAATATATACTTTGTCCATTTTGCTTTTTAAGGAGACAGGGTACCATTGCACTCCTAAAGAAGCATATAGTTAGAGGTGATAAAGTGAGATTTTGTTTTTGTTTGGTGAATGAAACTGTTTTATCTAACAAAAGTGTTTATTATATGAGAAATTCTATATATCTCAATGATTTACGGATAGCTAAGGCAGTAAGGTTATAAATCGAGCAGTGGCCTTGACTAATAGGAACAGAGCAGAGTTATGGGAATCTACTGTAAGTTCAGTTCAGCCATTTTGTACACTTTACATTAATTGCTGGACATTTGTGGTTTGGCTAGGCCAAGATTTGAGTTTGATGAATGTTGAGCTTTGTTGGGTTCAGTTGTAAGGTTGGAGAATGTAAATTTATATCTTGCTTTCTTAGCTAAAAATCTGTACTTTTTTATTTGGATCGTGTGCAGGCAACCAACAGCCCAGCAACAGTGAAGGGAGGTAAATGACTTGGCATGCCCTATTGAATAGGGATTTTCTATAGGAAGTTGGAGTTAGTTCTCAATGCTGCCAAACTTTCATCATCTGATATGTGGAACATACTCATTACAAAGCTGCCCCAACACCCTTTCTATACCAACACGTCCATACTGAATAGATATACATTTTATGATCTGTATAATTCTAAATGTTGCTTCAAAAGAACCAAGTATATGTTATAGTTTGTAATCATCCATTTTTAGTTTATTCACAGTGTAGGCAAGCTGCCACTGGCTACTTTTGTGAGACTTGAGTTAACCGCTTCAGGTTTTCTGTTTTTGACTAAAATTCTAACATTGTTGTGTCACTAGATTTAGTAGAGCGTAAGCCTATGTCAGCGAGGAGACTGTTATAAGTCTTGTGACAGATTATAGGGAAAGTTCTAAAAGACACAAAATGTTAGTTGCTATTGAGTAATGCTATATTATACTTAAGATATTGGTCTTAAATTATTTGACTAGGAAACCTGTTGTGAATTTGTAGCTAAGCAGTCCTTGCAAACTGTCTGATTTCCCCAAAATTCAATTGATAAGTCGACCTGGTATATTTTTGGCTTTTCTGTTCTACGCGTGTTTTTTGCAATGTAATCATATGATTGCATGTAGTTGAGTTAACACATTTCTGGCAGCTGAAAACAATGAAAACTTACCTGTTGTTTTCCATTGTCTATTTTATAATGTGAGTACAGAAAGAAATTTGTTAATTTAGTACAAAACTGTACAACTGAGCAATTGGCTCCAGTAGCAGATACTCCATATGGTAGAAAATATACTTCTCCAGAACTTTTCTCTACCCTTCTGGTTAGATTCACCTTATGCTCCAGTTTTGATGACTTCCCCTCAAATTTGTTGGAATTTAACAATTTCTAACACCTCTCAACTTTATGAAAGAATTGTGTTTTGACGTTTATTAAAACAAGCTTTGCTTATTTGCTCCCTTTCAGGCTCAGTTCACGTGTTCTGTGACTTGTGAGACCCAGAGTCGCAAAACATGTGAAATGCCATGTATCTCTCTGAGAGCCGTTCCAATTAACACTATTGAAGTCACTGCAACTTCAGAAAAAGTTCCTGCACCACTTTGATGCACTGAAGCTGTATCAGTCACATCAAAATCGTATTATAGTTGTACTGCAAAGTTGCACTGAAAATCGCCCGACTTTGGAGTAAGCTAATGTGAAGCAAGCCTTAGTCTGTTTAAATATTCCATTGGAAGTGTTTTGGAATATTTGTTTGATAAGTGTGAAGAATAACTACATTTTATACAATTTTCTTCAATTTCCTTTAGATTTACCTTCAACTGTGTAGTGCAAGGGCCTGCCTGATTGCATACAAATTAAAAGTGTTTAGGTTTGACCTCATATTATATGGTTTTGGTAAATCTAAAGGAAAATTGTACAAGAAAAGTGTATAATGTATGGCCAGCCTATGTCCTGTGAGCACTTCCTGTAATATCTCAAGGAATCTAAATAGCCCTCTTTCTTTGACTATATAATTGTCTGTCAAATAGATGGAAAGAGTAAGCAAAAAACAATTGGGTGGGGCTGACACCACTCTTGTCACTCTACAACAGGATTTAGGAGCTAAGTGCATTTCTGGCAGGATCAACAGTGTTTAGCACTTGCTGGTAGGTTAATTGGCCCAAGTATCCTATTCTACTGAGCATGTCCAAGATGGCTACCTCCCCATCTGCTCCAACAGCAGATAATGTGTTTTGAGTACCTAGGGTTAAAAGCACTACAGCGATATAAGTGAATACAAGATTTGTCTATACTTGCAAGGTTCTTTTAATAGGAAATTTCTGCATTGTGATTTTATTCAGAAAGGCGAACAGAAGTTCAGAAGAAATGTGTATAAAAAGTGGACATATTGACAGGCTATGTATTTATTAGCCCATATCTAGCAGTCAACAACTGGCTTTCCTTCAGACACTCCAGTATCTTCAAGTGATGCAACTTTTCAGGCATTGCTTGAGATATTTGGGCGGTTGTAGGGGAAGACTGTAGAGCAATAACAAGCACATGTCACAGGCTAAGATTCTTCTGTTGTTGCTCTCTCCCATTGTTCCCTACTCTCGATGTCAAACATCAGCACAATTACTGCATGTGTACCTCAGTAGAGTTGGAGAATGATTACACTAGATCTCTATGGCATGCACTTTGAGAAAGGACAGGCATATTTCTCACCACTCTTTATTTTTGAGGAACCGTCTTGACCTTTTGTTACCTACACGCTACAATCCGATTGTAAAATTTCCGTTTTTATTATTGGTTAAAGCTTATTGTTCAATGAGCTGTGATATTTTCAGTTAGATTGAATGAAAGTGAGATTGATAGAAAACTGATCAAGTATGACTTTTAGAATTTTTATTTACCCAAATTTTTGACAGTTCACTGAGCTAATATGTTTGTTTTAATTTGACCAATATAGCTTTCTAAATTTAGAGATAATTTTGAGCTAATGCAATATATTGTAAGATAGATACAAAAGCAACGAACATGCTGTCAAATATAGGCTTTGAATATGTATAATTTGACAGCGTATAATAATCAGATCCTTCTATTGTGTGAAGAAAAAAATGTGCAATTTGGGGTAGAACTTCATCACTTTGGAGTTTTACAGTCTTGGTGAAGTAACAGCTGCTTTGTTTTCCGTGAATTGCTTTCTCCAAAAACACTTTTTAGCCTCTCTTCACACACCACCACCACCCAGATGCCAAACGTATGAACCGACATTACGTCACATGTTCCTGTCTAAGAGCTGGATTTTATGGTGCTGAATTTTTATCATTTTTAAAAACTTTTGGGATAGTTTCAGTGGTTGGTAGTATTTAGGGTTTTTTTTTCTGTAGGTAGTATTTAGGGGTTTTTTTTCTGTAGGTAGTCTCAATTTTACTGTACATTAATGCTTCTGAGGCAGCATTTGACAAAATAACACTCAAGTCTTTTTAGAGAAATCCCCCAATCCCCCCCCCCCTTTACTGCATATAATAAATTGCCTTTGTCAACTCTGTTAAATGCTCAATATCGCAGAGTTTGTTCCTAATTTGTTGGTCTATCCTATCTCTTTACTAAACAATGCACCCCACTGATCATCCTTGTTTGTTTATTCATAATCTCATGATCAAAAATCTTCTCATGTATTTTGTCATTGGGCAAATTTCAAAGACTATTGCTGACAACCTTGGAAATATGGAATAAGGCTCCATGCACACTTTTATAAGCTCAAAAAAAAAAAGAAAATGTGGATGTTTGTTTAAACAAAATCATTTTTACTAACAGTTTGCAAGAAGGTCTTTATACATACTTTTTTTTGTATTCTTCTGGATCTTCCAAAAGGCCAACTCTGATTGGACTGTGTACCGACAGTAGTACACAGGGTTGGTGTTGAACAACCAGTTATAAACTGTTTATTCTCATTTACGTTTACACATTAAAGAGGAGCTCCAGTCCCCCCCCCCCAAAAAAAAAAATTAAGCCCGTAGCTAAATTATTGCTGCACAGCCGGTATCCTAATGCGCATGCGCGAGCCACACTGTGCTTTGTGAATCGCCCCATAGTCTTCTGTGACCTGTGTATTCCAGAATGTTGCGGAGGAAGCTTTGGGTGAAGTTGTGCTTTTATGTTTTTTGTGTTTTACCTTTGCATCCAAAATACCACATATAGAGCCCCTCAACAATCAAGTCAGCTCTTTGATTAGGACTTTTCGTTTCCCTTTAGAAATAATCCTTTGACTACATAGGTACTTCTGTTATTTTTGTGGTGCTTTATGCCATTCTGGTACCTTGAGCTGTTTTGTTTTTTTTTTTGTTTTTTTCATTTACAAAATGTGAAAAAAGGCTGATGGTCAAATTTCTCCACATCCTGATATTTTGTACCAGCATTACCATGCTATACAAATGGCATTAATTTTGTCACCGAGCAATTTTCACTTTGTTCTTTTGGCATAAGGATTTGCCAAGACAGGTCAGTGGTTTTGAGGGGCAAAGTTGGCTGTTTAGTGCAGAAATGATGAATTTTACCAAAGAGCATGCAAAGGATGTTTGGGTTTAGCCATGTCTGTACAATGACAAGATATCACTTTTAAGTTGTAGGTTTTCTCTGTAAGTTGTATATATTGTAGGTTCATAATGAGGACTGTTTAATGTCAAGCTACAGGCAAACTGCTGGGTGCACAATTAAATTATGTGTATATGGACTGGTTTACCAGCCAAAGGACTTGTCATTTGTACTGTAGGTCTATGGTAAAATGCATTCATAAAAATCATGGATGGTATATATTTA